TTCTTTTGTTTAGCAACCAAAACTAATAGTCTAAAATAAAGCGATGGTTACTGATCAAAGTAGTACTAATATTCCATAAGATGAGGAGAAAAGGATATATTTTTTAGTGACAAAATTAAACACTAATACACCATCTTGTTTTGCTGCCATCAAAGCTATGCTATATGAAGCATGCTACATGGTACTGCAAAGCTTTCAACTAGATCTCAGATTCGACTTGAATCCCTGCCAAATATGAATCGCCTCGACCAGTCAGCTACCACCAACATCCTTGTTCTCCAGCTGACTTGTTTGCTGTATGTTTTAGAAACTATTAGAGGTTGATAGCATACTAATTATAAGCCTCTTAAAGTGAATTTATGTTCAATAGATTACCTTGCATATATTGAATACCATAGCCACTGGGAGTTATGTCCAATTGATATCCAATCTCCTGGAAGCATAGCTGCAGTTTGTTCTCCTCCTAGAGGAGCAAATTGTCCCAAATGCTTGTACCTTTTCATCAAATGAATACAAAGACATGCAATGAAGAACTTGGATGATACTAGGCCATAAGCTGTTATTCAATACTATTTCAGTTAATCATGCACCCTTTTGGTTGCACTATCCTACACATGAGAGGTAAGGTACATAAATTGAATCAATCACTTGTTTGCATGTGGTTAACTACCAACACATTAACCATTTTATTCAACTGATTTAACCACATTCAAACAGTGATGCAATTAACCATTTATCTAAATGGACTAGTCATGCTCCATGTCAATCACTTAGGGATGGATCCTGTAATCATTTTAAAAGACAACCTGGTGCTATAAAGCTCCCACTATATGCAGGGTCTGACCCACTAAGTGTGTTTATAGCAGGCAGCCTTTGAATTTGCAATAAACGGAATCCACAGCTCGAACATGTGATTACCTTGACACATTGCAACGACTTCAACCTTTGTGTCAAGGCTCATATCCCTTAATCATTGTCTATTAAAATAGTTTCTAGTTTTCTAGTAACATTAATTTCACAAGGCCGCATTGAAAGAAGAAAGAAAAGAAAGACAGGCTGAAACTTTTCGATACCTGAAGGGGCGAAACCTATGGCGTCCTACTCCCCTGAACCTGATAGGGCCTTCAGGATACTTCTCACACAACTCCATGCGATTGAAACATTCTGCAAGATAAGCGCCTTGTTGAGCAGCTACCTAGAAAGATTCAAGTTCAGAAGCCATCACAAAAGCATAAGTGAGAATGCCCTTAGTTGTTTGGCAAGTATTATTGGAAACCAAGTAGTAAGTACAGTAACATGTACTTGAGCTGTTGCAGGAAGATTTTTCATCTGAGAATCTACTTTGGAAAGAGCATCTTTGAAGTATTCAATGTCCGCTGTTAGAGAGCTATCTTCATATTTCTGTAGCAAGGCTGCTACTTCCTTCATTAGGTTCTTCTTTAAATAAATTTCTACTTGGGGGTACCTCTCAATAATGTCACCAACAACCTCCCGGAATTCTTTGAGATCTAACCTTCCGTTGTTGTCCTTGTCTGCCTTGCTAAATATTGCGGCTATATCTTCCTGGTAAAACGACGGCAGACAAAAGGATAATAAAAAGTCACACTAGAACTTAAGGAAGCATCAGCATAGCAGTGTAGTACCAAAAATGTGCAGATAAAATGTCTCAGATTTATAGCTAAAAATAGCATCATCACAATGGTCGACAATAAAAATAACGGGATAGCTAGCTACTAGCCGCTGCTGTTTTCGTTCCATAACCATATATAGGATAAATGTAAGAACACAGGTTTTAAAAAATTAAGGCCAATTGATACATCCACACAGATAAAGGTTGTAAGTTATTAATCACTCTAGTATAAATCAAAACTAACATTGAAGATTTGAAGGTCATTTATAATGATAGACAAATAGACATAAACAATGCTTAGATTGCACATACCATAACTCTCCGCTGATTTACGGTGGCACAATCACCTAGAGCATAGATGTTGTCAAATCCTTCCAACCTTAGCCATTCATCAGTAACTAATGCACGTCTATTAATCTATCACAGAATTTAAAACATGCAAAATTTGATAAGTGATTTTGGCTGACATTCATATTTTGCGTTTGGATTGAGAGTTAGACATAGAAACAAACCTGGCCAATCTGCTTCATAAAATCAAGTATTTCAGGACGAGTACCGATACCGGTGGACCAAACTACCATTCCATGAGGTAGAGAAACAGTTTGACCAGTTGCTCTTTCTTTGGAAGAGATTTCATTTTCGGATACACTGACAACCATAGAGCCTAACTTCACATTAATGCCATCTCTGGAGAACTTTGATTCAGCAAAATCTGTAATTCTCTTGTCAAACCTGTAAAATTGAACCAGAACATTATATCATGCATGCATATTCAAAGAGTAATCTCAAATCATACTCAATAGACCTGGAAATATTACATGTTTAGGATATGATCGCCTGCCTCGAGTAGAGTAATCTTCACATATTTTTCAAGAGAAGGATATAATTTAGATAGATCCTCATGTACAAAGTCATGAAGCTCTGCAGCAAACTCAACACCAGTTGGACCACCACCAACTACTACAAAACTCAGAAGTTTTTTCTTCTCTTCCACTGGTAAAGAAGGGAGACTTGCTCTTTCAAAAAGGTCGATCACCGTTCGACGGATTCTTAGTGCATCTTCCACTTCCTTCACATAGATTCAAGAATAGTTCAGCATATTATCTAATTAAAAAACTTTATTTTCATTCTTTCTTATATGAGTACATATACAGTTGTGAGATATGCTTTTATCGGGTAACGAAATGAAAAGATTTGTATACCTTAAGGAAGTGAGCATGCTCCAGAACACCAGGTGTGTTAAAGGTATTAGAACGGGCTCCCATAGCTATTACCAGGTAATCATAATCAATGGAAAATTCTTCTCCGCTACCCACCTTCTTGCCTTGAACAGCACGGCAGTAAACTTTGTTGATCTTCGGATCGATCTTATAGCATTCGGCTTCACTAAATTGAGCATTTACACCACTCTGTTGTAGAGCGTGAACAGAATTCTCTTATAAGTATATATGTTACTACAATGGTTTGACAAAATATATATCTAGTAAGCTGAGACATTATGCATAATTCATTAAACATGATTTTTCATACTTGGAGACTGATGTAATTTTGTGTGTGTGTGAGACCTCGGTATCCAGAAATCACAATGGACTCGGACTAATTCAAATCGAGCTCGGAAGGGTCATGGGGCAAAACTCCTCTAAACCTATTTCGACTGATCCAAGTTGAAGAACTTTGAAGATCCATTTAAGGAGGCAAAACTCTCCAAGCATGGTAACACCTATTTTTTCATTCAAAATGTGAAACCACTAAGGGAAACTGAACTCCTTATCATTTGCACCAATTGGTAGAGGCTTATTTAGTTGCATAGACACCAACAATGTTCAAAATTACATGTTGTTTAAATTAAATTGCATAAGGTGCACAATGCATATTCATATTCCTCAAATTCTACAGATAAATAAAGATGGAGATTACTATAGGAAATAGAATTGATTAGTACTTTGCGGGTGATACTGCGAATAGGTTCAACGACGCTGCGTGCTTCCACAGTGCCACAAGTAACACTTGGTAGCAAAGGAGTGAATGCAAAATAGTTACGCGGTGAAACCACATGAACTTCATAAGAAGGGTCATTCAAATTTTTCAGAAAACTAGTTCCAGCCCAACCAGTTCCAAGCACCACCACCTTCTTTTTTCGGACTTGGTTACCAATTTCACTTTGTACTGGTGTAGCATCACCATATGCAACTAGACCTCCGCTACTGCAAAGAATTACAAACAAAAAACTGAAAATTAAGAAGAAAAAACTCCAAACTGATTATAGGCAAGTCTATTTACATGCATTTGACACAGTAATTGACAATATTAAGTTACATGGTATGCTATACATGAACCATATAACTATACTACAATGAATTTGGAACTGCTATGACAACTTTACTTTTTATACAAGTACTTTTCGTTTGTTAAAATGAGAAAGAACCTTAAGGTTTGAGAATGTATTAAGACCTTGTTACAGTGCACACAATAACTGCTTTGGACCAAGATGGATACTTATGAAAGACCCTAGAAGCATTCTGGTAGTAGGAAGACCAATGCATTGTGAAACGTTTTGCTACTTGATATATCTTCTTTAATGATTATTTTGATTCCTTCTTTCTTTGGGTACAAGATAAAAGACAGTGCTAGACAAAAAATGGAAGAGTTAACTGAATTTGAAGGTAGTTTTAAATGATGGGGCAATTGGTTTGAAAGGTGTAACTGACACGTAACATGTGATGCATATTCCTTGGTAGTTGAATAATTCAACATAAGACACATGAGTTTTGTACAAGGAAATGATCTCCACTATATTCGGTTTCAACACTAATGTCTCGGATACTTCGGTTCAAGCAACAATGCGTTTTCACGTATTCAAGATGTAATGAATCATGGCATCAGCATCAAACTAGTGTGTCTGATGTTTACCCACGAGGTCAGATCCTTAAACACGGGAAGGAAGTACATGAAGAAAAAAAATAGAGTTTACTATTTAAGCACAGTGTAAATATTTATACACAATCAATACATCATTCACCATTAATTGCATTAATTTTATTTAAAAGTAAATTATTATTTAAAATAAATGATGCATTGCTCTAGTGACACTATAAAATACTTTTAGACTATTAGTATATAGTCTGATTGAGTTTATATAAATATTTATAATGACAATTTAATATTACACTATGAGTGTTCATATTTTCCTATGTTATCCTACCCAAATTTATCTTTTGCTGCTACTTATCTAATTGCTGACACAGCTCTAGAAAAGCTAGATTAATGGTCGCAGAGTGGCTCTTAAAAGGAAGAAGATGATAAGAAATTATCACAGTGGTACAATTTAAAGTTTGAGATGTAACATTGACATTTCATATCTTATACCTTAAGCTATCAAGTTTATATTGAACGAAGTGATTTGATTTTATTTCTACAGGTTGAATTTAATTTAAGTAACGAAGTATGCATAATATCCCATACCATCAAGTGTAGTTTTCAGAAAATGAAATTTATGACACTATCCAATAAAGAATGACACAACTCCACTAAAGTATATTAGTGCAAGATGGAAGCTGCAAAGAGTAGCATTCCCGTCCAAAAATACAATGACAACTCTCAGAGTGTTTTCTAATTACAACCGTGGATGGACCAAACTCCAACTTGAATAAGTACCTTCAATAAGTACAACTTTAGAAGAATTAACACAGAAAAAGTGTCACAAAATAATGAAGACATTGCTTGTTAATCAAATTAAACACCACTTGAATCCCTCCCAAATATGAATCTTCTTGTCCAATCAGATACAACCTGCACCAACTCAGTTGCTTCATGATATTAGAACAAGAGTTAATAAAAAAAGTTGACACACATAAAAACTTAGTTGCCATATGTAAAAAGAAGTGTGCTACATGTACAATACAAATGGAGAATGAGTATAAACCATCAGAATTATTGGATGATAACATCAAAGTGAATCTCAGACGACCGTCGTGAGATAATGTAAATCCATATTCATCACACGGCCATTGATCATAACAGATTACTAAAAACATTGATAAAAGGGTAGAAATATTAAACATAGGATTGATGAATTCTACTAAAAATATATAAAGCCTCAGACGAATCCATTGATGTCGTGTGAATGTAGCTTCACTAAGTAGGTTCTCCATGTAAACATGGGCTTAGCTCTACTACACCTCAAACTAGTTGGATTAAATCATCACAAGCAACAACATAAATAACAGAATAATACATCATTACAACAAAACATTCAACAACAATAAAATACTAAACTTCTACACATCTTATGTAAGAACAATAATCACAAAAAAATAGTTGGATACAGTTTCATCATTGAGAGGCTGAGAAGCAGAACTAGCATAAGCTGAATAAATATCATCCTAGCCGATTATTACACTAGGATAGAGACTATCTAAAATCTAATCAAGTAAAAAATATAAAATTTTGAATAATAATTAGTTTTCATAAAAAAAACAAATTAAAACTCAGCTCATATCAAGAAATTCAACCATTTTGTATCCTTTGTGCTTCATTGACAAATCTCAGAAGCGCGGATGAGGTGTAATCATAGCCAAGAACCCCAAAAGGAAAAAAAAAACATTTTTTTAAGATTTATAAGCCAATCTAAACATTTGGTAGTCTAATTCCGAGGAATGCTATAAAATCTATATAGTAGAGAAACTGTAATGAGATACAAAACATAATAGTCAACTAATTTCGAAGAATGATTAAGGAAAATGAATGGGGGAAAACCCTTTATAGGCGCACTAAAACACTATGAAACCCTAGAAAATGATGTTGCTGACGGTGGTAGTATTCAATTGGTGAGGTTTAACCGAATCAACCCGATTAGGCCCAGTCTTATTAAACTTGTGGGTTGGTCCAGTTAAATTTCGGTTAAGAAAATAGCATTGTAATCTTATCCTAAATATTGCTGATAATTATTTTCTAGTTTAATCAATTATTCTAAATCCTACTACTACCTTATTCTCCTGCTGTCCTACATATTTAACAGAGAAAACGTTTAATGTAATTTTTTCATAAATATTGTGATTGAATACTAAAATCTTAATAAAATAATAAACTCTAAACCTTGTGTAATATAGGAGAATATTATGTTAGAAGATTGTGAAAAGCATTAGTAATTGTAGTATGTGAGTTAAAGGTTAGTTCAATTTCTATAAAAAAATGTTGGGTGGGAAAATCATTGATGAAATAATTAGAAATATTTAAAGATCAACGTTACAACAATTGTTTTGTCGCTCCCAATAATTAAATGTTTGACTAGTATAAGTTTCTCGTATTTAGCAAAAACTTACGTCGTTAAACCACCGCGAAGCTTCATCGTTATCAGAGTATAAGAATAATGAACAATCACAAGTGAGACATTAATTATATGTGTCCTTTTACACTTTAAACTCATTTTATCAGTTTCTCATATCCAATATAAAAATTCAGACTTGAATAAACTTAATAACTATTTTTATAATTTTTAGTCTCCTAACTTTACTCCTCTCACCATTAGCCCCACCACCTATCTTTTGCTACATAACTCACTGGTTTACTTAGACCCTCAATTGGCATTCTAAGTACAATACCAATGGAGTTTATTAATAATTGAAATAATAATACATGTATTTATTAGTGCCTTAGAAAATGACAAACATGATTGCTAAAGTGCATATATATTAGGGTATAAGTTGGAGTGAAAGCGAGAGTTCTAATATAATAACTAGCACGAATGATACAAATGATAGTGATTTAACTATAAGAGAAAGGCATATCATTTGTCTTAAAATGGTGTCCCAAATCTTGTCCTAGTTAATTCTATTGTGTCATATCATTTAAAAATCTACACCACTCTTCACTAAAAAAAATATTTATTCATATGACTTTTCATTTTTATTCTCTGATTGACTGGGATAAGGTTTTGGACACCATTTTGGGACATATCCCTCCTTTATTCACTTTAATGGGCTCCAACATCCTTTATTTTTTAATTGGGCTCCAATTAGAAACCACAACGACATCGTTTTGTTAGTTCTTTGGTTTATATTTGTTGACATTTCCGTCTAGAACCACGATACTTGTTCTCTCTCTCACTCTGAAGCTGAATCTCATAGCCATGGCCTCACTAGCTCGTCGTGCCGTATCTCTTAGCCGTCTTTCTATTTCCAATCCCAAAACCTCAATTCAAGCTCCTAACTTCATCCACCGCCGCAATCTCGCCGGAGCTGCAGGTATTTTCCTAATTCATTTATTCATTCCAGATCCCATTTACTGTTCCATCAAGATCACTTAAATCAAACACTTCTACGAAATTTGATTCGATATTATCCCTTTCTCAATAATTGAAATCGATAGCCTCAAACTTTTCGCCCCCTTTCTATTGGGTGCCTTTAGTTTTTTGTGAAAACCTAACAATCTGTTGGTTATTTAGGTTTTGTGTGAATCTGTTAAGAAATATGTGATTGGTAGTGGGTTTCTGTTGAAAAATGAAATTGAGATTTAAAGTTACAATTTTTGAAATATTATCTGGAAATAAAGAAGGTGGGTAAGGTATTTTTGGATGAAAGGAGAATTCAGTGTTTATAAATGTAAGTAACATTGGGTTATATTTTGATAGTGTGACAATGACTTTGGTTAATGTTGCTCGTGTAACTTGGCTTCATAAACCTAAACAACATTATTTAATCAATAGATGTTCGGTTTTTATATACTTTGAAGAAACTTAATTTGTGTGCTGTAGGTTTTTATAATTTTATTTACTACACGGTTTTGGTTTATTTGAAATGGAGTTATCTTTTGATTATTGCAGATCACCATGGTCCCCCTAAAGTTAACTTTTGGACAGACCCATTGAGTCCATCTAAATGGAAGGAAGAGCATGTGAGTATATTGTTTTGTTTGAAGAACCACTGAACCCGATTTGAATTATTAAATTTTACTATGCCATGATTGGAACTGAATCATTCATTTTGGAAATGGCACATGTGTGTGAATATTGTTTTGATTGCTTGCTTTGTGATTTCAGTTTGTAATTGTCTCTTTAAGTGGCTGGGGACTACTCTTCTATGGGGGATACAAGTTGTTTGCAGGAGGCAACGACAAGAAAGAAGAGGTACTTTCAATTTTTGTTCTAACTGTTACAACCAAGAATGCCATTTATGGTTTGTAGCCACAGTCAGGAGAATTTCTTTCCCATCCTTTACCATTCTAACACATTTTAATGATTTTTAGTTCATAGCTGTGTACTACACAATATACTTGTAGTTGTTGGAGAAATTTCTGCTTAGGGAAATGGACTAACTATAGTTTAACATCTCCAGGATTATGTTTTTGGTTCTTGTTGAACACTGATGCTACTGTAGATTTTTTAATTTCAGACTTAGGATATGATTACTTCATGAAATGACTAGTTTGGTGCTTCACATTGTTGTCAAATTTGTTTTTTAGATGCAATATTGTAAGACAAGAAATAGTGAAATAGTTGTTTGAATCATAATTCATAAAACCCTTTCTTTTTTCTTTTTCTGTTACATTATACTTGTGTTTAAGCCATTTGTTTTATGTGAACTGGTTAATCTAAATTACATAGACTGCTAATTGGTCATTAACAATTAAGTGTGATGTTAATCACATCTGCCATTTTAAATTTCAAATCTTTGCTCATTGGACGCTCTTGATATTTGCAGAAATTGGTAGCAGCACCACAGTGAGGTTTGGAGCATAGTCACAACCCAAAGTATTCATGATAATAATGTGTGCCCAGACATAGCCTTGTTTGTATTCTTTTTGCGAGTTACCAAATACTCCTTGGAGACACTGAATATTGGAAGATGATTATTTCCAGAACAACTTGTTACATTTGACTTTATATTTGGCCATTTTATGCCAATCATGCATTCCTCTTCGTTTGCAAGAAATTAAATCCTCTAGGCCATGCAGTTTCTGTAAAACAAGCCATTCTGCTTTGTGTTTTGATTTCCGTTGTGCATCCTTGCTAGTTTTAAGAATTGATATTATGGATGTTGCAGAGTTTTAGTTGTGAAATAAAGATTAAAACAGCTGAAATATAAACTGCTTTCATTGACATCTAGTTCCTAGTTCCTAAGATGGCAACACCCTTTTATTATGTCACAAATTTCAAATATTTATAAGCACCCAAACCCAATAGATGGATATAGTAAATTTAATTTACAGTTTAATCACAATTCACAAACCAGAGTGAAGTCATCATCCTCATTATCATGCATGATTAATCTCACTCAATAGAACCATCTTTATTTGTTAAACTTAACTCACAAGGGATAGCCTCGGCCTTTTATTCGGTTTAGGTGGGCTTAATATTTTTATTATGCGGGATTACTTGGATTATCAAGTTTATGATGTAGATTATAATTTATGAATATAAAATTCCATCATATTTTTATTCATATCTAATATAAATAACATATGTACTAATGAAGCTAGAACATGATATAGTGTAATTTATAGTTCCTTTTTTACCTGTACTATTTTTTATTTTTTAGTCAAAAAAACATATAAACCAATGTTCCAATCCATCTACTGTGCATTTCCTTATTATTTTTTCTCTGTCTTCAATAGTGTAACTTCAACAAAATTTTCTTTTGAAGAGAACATGACAGATATAATTCACTCAAGCATATACATCTGTAAGAAAAAATATCAGTTGTCATTATAACCACAAAATGAATTCCGGACATAGAAAAGGTGAATTAATCAGAATAAGTGCTAGCTAGTTCAAACTATTTATTTGAAAATTGTAATATAAAGAAAATGAATATAATGCTCTATATTTTTCAGCATTTGTCTATGTAGCTTTTTCCTTCTTGTTGGGGCGGTAGAGTCATGTCAATGATAATGCATGAGGATAGAAAGTTGATATTGATATGCTAAAGCACATAATTTAATATGACGAGGAAATTAGGTAAGTGTATATTGATATGCTAAAGCTCATAGATGTTAAAGAATCAATTACAAACATATTTTATAGGAACTAACCATCTCATTTTTCATGAATCATGATTACAAATTATTAAAAATGTTTTTTTTTATATATATCTTAACATGTATCTTAGGACATGAATCAGTAATTGATAATCAATGAAATGGTTAATGATTTATCATAGATATGATGAAAAACATGTCATAAATCCATGCTTCCTTCCAAAGAAGACAAATATTAGGTTGATAGCTGCCAAACAATTTCAATTCTATTCATCAGAAAGGTACTAATAGATGCCTAGGACTAATGCCACAACAAATACACATGCATTTGCTTAACTACTTATAGACACACTCATACACAAACAGGCCTTAACACTGTTTGGTCATTAGTAACCAGTGTTTTGCCATTATAGCATATATGATTATAGTTCAGGACCTTTCAGAATTTGTAAAAGTCATCTTTGTGATTATCTATATATCTGACCTTAATGGAATGTTGGTTGCATATATTTGTGAATATAGATATATACATAACTATTTCAAGGCAAAAGGGTAACTAGAGTTTGGTGCATTAAATATATTTTGGTCACCATTGCATGCCACAGTAAAAAAGAACTATTATTTTACCTTTTCTTTTCCTGTATGGTCTATTTTACTCGCATACCATAATAAAAGACCTATTTATTTTATCCTTTTCTTTCCTAATATGGCCTGTTTTTCACAAACCATAATAAAGATGGAATAATCAAATCAATATATATCTTCTGCATTTTGACAAAATCATTATGGTAATTGAGGCACCAACAGAATTTCACCTGTCCCCCTTCCCTGTGTGCCCCGGATACTAAAAT